TGGAGACAGAAAGGACCAGCTGTGCTGAAGCTGGACACAACCTCCATATGTGTAGCTATTCAAAAAAGCTGTATCTATACCACATAGCTCTCCTTTTGTCAGGGGTAGGTTCTACAAAAGCTCCAGCTTCTAGTTCAGCAGAAATTAAGACCATTTAGGGACTGCCTTCAATTTTGGAGGCTCTCTCTATAGTGCCATCAATTAGCCTGCAGTAGTTATTCCAGCCTGTATTGAACCAGGCTGGAAAGAAAATACACAAATGAAATGGCACAGTTTTTCTCCCTGAAAGCAAAGGAATGGACATTATGAGATAGTCACTGCAGCTTTGTGCATTTGGAAAGTGTGCCATCTCAGAGAAATATCCAGTGAAAAAAAAAATGGGACTGCTTTGTGCTCCACCTGTGCTAGCAAAAGGGAACAGGCCAGAGAACCTGGCTTTGGCTTTGCAAGGGCAGGGAGATGAGTGACAGATGGGGAAGAGGCTACTTATTCACATCCAGCCCAGGAAGGAAAAGCCAGGTAGCTGCACTTAGTTTAGTGACTTCAGGATATGTCCCCAAAGCACAGGAATGTACATTAGGAAATGCAAGGCAGCTGCCAGTATCACTCATGGCAATGTCCAAAAAGTGAGCAGCAAACGAGAGTGGAAAACCAACCACTTCACTTTTCAGCTGTCCTTCATCATCAACTGAGCCAAGCTGGAAAGGTGGCTGAGTTTGGGAGGGGATAGAGAGACAGCACTGTCAGCTCCCAGGATAATACAGCCCAAGATGAGAATGCAGAGGATAGTGCTTTCAGAGGGCTTCAGCTACAGTGAGTGCATTATTCCTCTCTAATATGAGTGCAGGAAGGAGGTATAGTCTGTCAGTGCATAAGCTGTACAGCAGGAAAATTAGGGTGAATACCAAGAAGGCTTTCCCAGCAGGGAAATATGTAAGCAAGCAGAACCATGTCAGTGAAGGCAAAGAGATAAACCTGTAATAAAGGATATTTCATGTAATGAAGCAAAATTAGAGCATATTTTGCATTTGCCTTATGTCATTTGTAGGACTCATTACAGGGGGCTTACTTAAACTGCTCTACAGATCTTTGCTTTCTTAGCCAGCATTTCTCCTTTAAATAGCTGAAGAAGTCACACCAGGTGCAGGGAGATATTTGGATATGACCTGAGCAAGTGTCAGCCCTATTTATTCTCCATTTTTCCTCTCCTGCAGCCAGAAAAAAAAGGGAAAGCCTTTCGACCAGCCTCTGCCTACAGAGCAGGCACTCAGTGTCCAAAACCTAAGGGGAGCCCAGGAGTTCGAGTAGGGTGAGTAACCCAAAGCATGGAGACAGTATCTCCCTAGAGGCTTTTCCCTAGCTTAAGACTTATTAAACCTAAGCAATTTGTCTCATTAACTGGCAACTCAGTAGCTGTCCTTGAAAAAGTAAGGGACACAAGAAAGCAAGAAACATGAGGAGCTCCCAAACCCCAGGAGGAGCAGCTTCATGGATGGCCTCACCTCTGCCGGTTCCCAGGCAGACCTGGTCTCTCCTCTTTCTCACAGCCAGGGTGATACAGTCCAGCAGTTCCTGGCTCAGCCCAGGTGTGGGGGCTTTGCAGAACCCAGCAGACATTCCTGCACACCAGCCATTCTCCACCAGGCACTGAGGGAAAAGGTGGGTGCTCAGTGGTTGTGCTCCAGCTGCCAGGGTGTTTTTCACCAGCCCGTCCTTAACTGCTCAGCTCTGTCTTTCTGATGTTATGTAAGCAGATTGAAAGAAAAAAACACTGCCATGAGCAGGTTTCTAATTAGGAAAAGAAATAAAAAGAATTATGGAATTAAGGCAAAACCTCAGCATGAATGACCCAAATCCCTTCCTTGTGCTGCAATCCACAGCAGGCTATTAGAAAACTTTTTTAAAAAAGAAAATCTATCACTAAGATGGCACAGAAAAGTCAAATTCTTTTGTAGGCTGGCACCTGCTTTCCCAAGCAGCTGATCCTACTTCATTTGTCTATTGTAAGTGTGAAGGATGCTTTAGAAAGAGATGTGCTTTGTGACACAAGCATTCCTACAAACATTGCTGAAATATGAGTAACAATGGGGCATACCACAGAGTTTTAGAATCATCAAGGTTGGAAGACACCTTTAAGATCATCAAGTCCAACCATCCACCCAACACTACCATGGTAACTCCTAAACCGTCTCCCAGCACCACATCCAGACGCCTCTGGAGCACCTCCAAGGATGGTGGCTCCACCACCTCCCTGGTCAACCCATTCTAGTGCCTGACCACCTAACAGTGCAAAGTATTTTTTGGAGATCTAATCTGAATCTCCTGTGCCTCAGCAGAAAGCCATTTCTTCTGGTCCTCACACTGCAGAAGAGACCAGCACCCACCTCACTGCACCCTCCTGTAGTAAACCCCATAGATTTAGGAAAAGCACCATGGAGGATATGAACAATAGGAATGCTGAAACAGCAAAAGAAAATTCCTGTTTCCCTGTCCTCCGCCCTTAACCTATCTCTGTAACCCTATTAGGCAATGTCATGTTAACCCCTTACCCATTGGTCAAGCTTGGATCCTTTCCAACCCTATAAAAGAAGCATACTGTACCCCATTAGGGGAGAAAGAAGAAGAGCAGAGACCCTTCACGGACCTCCCCAAATAAAGCCATCTCCGTGGAACAGCCTGCGCCTTCTCCTTCTCCTCTCTCTCCATCTGCTGCAGCCTCAAGCCCAGGGCACCACTACCTAGCAAGCAGAGCTGAAATCCTGAGAGCTTGCAATCACTATAGAGCTGATAATCACCATGCTTGCTAGATGGCAGCCCCGTGGCATTGGCATGAGCGAGCCAGCTGTGGGCACCCGGTCCCTACCCAGGGACTGAGCTCCTGAGCCCGATTGCTCTGCTTTATAATAATGCCAAATGAGGCTTTATTACCCTCCTTTCATGAAGGGAGTTGTAGAGAAGGATGAAGTGCCTCCTGAACCTCCTTTCCTCCTGACAAAACAACATGAGCTCCCTCAGCTGCTGCTCGTAAGATGAGTTCTCCAGACCTTTCATGAGCCTTCTTGCCTTTCTCTGGACATGCTCCAGCACCTCAATGGACATTTTAAAGCGAGGGGCCCAGAATTTAACACAGTGCTAGGGGTGCACTCACTCACCAGCACTGAATTCAGGGCAGTGACCTCTTCCCCAGTCCTGCTAACATCCATCCAATCACCATACCATCACCATTTCCTAATTTGTGCTGGCAACTTTCTCTTGGTGGTCTGCAGACTGTCACTGCAACTGAGAGCTGCCTACAATGAGTTACCTACTATCACACTGCATACAGGTGACACATCAACAGTGGCTTGCTTTGTGAACATTTCAAGCATCCACAGGTCTCCATGACCTGACCTTAACAGGAGGTAAGAGCCCCCTACATTTCTCACCACTGAGATCTTATTTCTTTAAATACTCAGTTGCAGATGTAAGTGCCTCAGTTGCAGATTTAAGTGCCTACATTTTAAAACATTGGCTAGCCAAAGTAGTAATTTTATGGCTCTCATAGGATGGAGTAATTTGAAATTTGCTGAGGAAATCTTCTTTTCCCTCACAATCCTGCCTATTTTGAGTGGAATACCTGTCACAGAGTGATTTTGATGGCATTTGAATCCCTAAGGTCATGGTGGTTTCTCTAGCAGATACCCCAGGATGTAGTGCGGCTGTTTGGAAAGTTCACATCCTCAGTAAATCAGTTGGTGTTTGAACAAGAAGCCAGACTTATTCTCTGTTTTTGAAGGCACCATCCCTCTGAAACTGCCATTTTATATGACAAAGTCTGCATCAGCCAGAAAATGTGCACTGGTCATCACTGGTTTGATAGGATGGTAACCTATTTTCTGCACTAGTCCTTTTTCTGCTGGGTCAGTCCCCTCAGGGTGAGGGATCTTTAGGCTTTTTTCCTTACTGCAGCAAAGCTACAAGGATGAAGTACAAAAAGGAGACCTCAGCTTTCCTGCCTACTAAGAGACCTTGACAAATGCAGCACGGAGCTGAATGAACCAAGCTGCCACAGGGAAGGACCCCACTTTGGCAGCTTGGGGACTAATGTTTGGCAGGCACTGGCCTGCAGAAACTTGAACCATATGAGAAGGAATCCAGCAAAGCTCATTAATAAAATACCTTCTGCAATTGCCCAAAGGACTGGGCAATTAGTTGAAGCACCTTGACAACTACAAGGCACAAATAAGGAAACACAAGCAACTATTTTTGGGAATAGACTCCAGTTTAGGATGAGCAGACAGAACATCACTGGTAGCAGAGGCACCATATAACTGCATTATCTCAGTCTGTTCTGCTCCTGTCCTCTCATCATAGGAAGGTGTGTGCCAAGGTGGGGTCCTCATGCCTTCTAGAAGATAGGTACATGGATATACCATATCTGTAACAGCACTGAGTCAGAACACTGCTATGATCTGTTGTCTTATGATCTTTTGTGTTATGACACAAAACTTCCCCTTTTTTTGGGCTGGCAAATAGTTATTGTGATGCTGATGCTCTTGGATTTGTGTGTGGTGTGCAGGCATGCTGGTGGGTGGTGGTGACCATCTGCCACAGCAGTGACACCGCAGGGTTGAAACGCTGCCTTTTCCACCTGGGCTCAGGGCTGGCTGTGCTGGGTGAGCAATGTGTGGTTCTGTGGCAGGGGGCTGCTGAAAGGCTGAGTGAATTGGTGCCAAAGGGGGAGCAGCAGCTGGTGCAGAAGGGCCTGTGCTCATGAGCAGCTGTGCAAAGGCACTGCACTGACACAGAAGGAAGCAGACAGGTCTCTTCTCCAGCAGGGACAGCACATGGAAGCTTCCACCACCACACTGAGCTTTGCAAGGTGCCAGATCTCAGGCCTGAATCCAGAAAGCCCTTCATAGCTGCTCTGACCTACACACACCCATAAGTTCTGGCAGAATGCTCACTCTTAAAAGTCCTTTCTTTTCCCATGTCAGCCTACAAACAGAGACCCAGAATAATTAAGACAGTGCTCATTTTATTGTACTCAGCATGGAAACCAGATGTGAAACAGCAAAACATTAAATTCCTAAGGGACTCAGTCAGGTGGGTAACATTGCTTTAGTATCACTTTAAGACTTTTCACATGCAAACTTTTGTTGGTATGTCTCAAATGAATGCCATGGTACACCTGGTAGCCTAAGACTAGCTTTATTTTGTACAGTACATCACATTCAATCAGTGTAACTATAAAATTAATAAAGCCACAATAATATTAGTTGTCGTTAGAAGCCTCCAAGTTGGTTTTCTTCTGATGCTGGCTGACTCATGGCCACAGTTTTTGAAATTAAAAGTTCAGATACACTTCCTACCTTTAATTCTGGGCAGAAACTCCCAGTACTCTCCAGTGTCACTGAGACCTTTACTTCACAACTTAGACTCAGTGATTTTATGTGCCACAAACACACAAACAGTTCTCTCCCATTTTATAGAAATTCCTCAGGGCAGTGTCTAAACTTGCTTCTGATGTACTTAAAACTATTGATTGTGAACTGAGCTAAGGGAAGTGTCATGCAGACCCTCCAGCAGAAGCTGCTGAGAAGTATCTGAGCGATACTCGTATTCTGCAGCAGATAACTGCTGGAGACTTTGCAGGCAGATTTGTCATTTATTTCTACTCCAAGGAGTGTCAGTCCTAGCAGAAAGCTAACAAAAACCTAAGGTCTCACATTTCAAATGGAGATTAGTCGATGTGATTCTGTTCCTAAGGAGATCAGATGATTCCAGTCTGATTTTTAGAGACCCAAGAAGGAGAAGGATTTAAACTTGCCTCAAGGTTGTGGAAAATGCCAAGCCTCCAGCATTCAATCAGAAGGGCAAAGGGAAAAAAATCATATTAGAGCATGAGTGATGCATGAGACCTGCACACATGTACTTGCCTTTTAAACAGGGACACACACATAAGCTTACCTACACCAGAAGTTTTCCTAGAGGAAAAACATATTTCCTCTCTGTGTGATTTGGCTCAGTAATAATGTCACTTTTCTTTAAAGAAGCCTGAATGATGGAAAGTAGGTTTCACTTTGCAAAATCTTCTTTGCTGGGATTTGATGCAAAATCCACACTATAAACTCTAGGAAGGAAGAGCTACTCAGGAAAACACAAAGCAGAAAAAACAATATATCTCAGCGTTAAAAAAAAAAGAAAATCAGTTTGGCTCAATTCAGCTGTAATACTTCAGTCTTCCTTTTAAACACCTACAGTGACTCAAGGGGAAGGCCCCTAAAAGAATATTGAAACCAGTTTGAGTTACAGGACCCGACCTTCAGGTCACACCACAGCATCCAATGGCACCAGAGATATTTCGTAGTATGCAGTATTTGGTTAAGGATCTACCTTCATGTCTTTGGGACACCTGAAAATACTGACCACTCATACAGGCATCACAGAGACACCAAAAAATAAATCAGCAGAGATTGGTTACTGAAACAGGGAGTTAGGGAAACAACCACAGCCCTTCACTTTGTAAGCCCACGGAGTCTGACAATCAGTTGTCTGTCATTCAGAGCAGCCATTCCCACAAGCTGTGTGCAAAAGTTACTCTGTTGTGGCAGCATTTTGCATTAATTTTTAAAAGGTGTGGAAGGACAGACACAAAACAAGATAATGGAGTTAATAAGTTAATAAAATTTGTACTTTCATACAAACCTTGCATATACTGAGCTAACTAATGAAACACTGGTATGGTACATTCCATGAAGTTTCCAAATTGAAAACCAGTGGCAGCCAATTTGAATTCCTCATCAACACTGATTGTCATTTGGATTTCCACCTCTAACTTTAACACTTCAACGCAGTAATGAAACTTAAGAGAAAAGCTATCTTCAGAGCATATATTCCATTTTTTGAATCCCTTCAATATACTTCTTCAAACAGTGCATTTTACAAGCTCTTATGTTTTAATGGCAGTAACGAACAGGTGGACTGCTTAGAGGTTTTGTTGAATCCTATTTGAATATATCTGTAAATACTAGCAAAATATACAGCCTTTGGAAATATTCATTTTCCTAAAAGACATGGGATGCCAACAAATAGAAAAATACATGAGGTCAGAAAACAAGTGGGCAAAACAGACATAGAAATGGGAATTCATTGTGAAGCACCTACACCAACTTTATTTTACTTCTGTTTTAGTCCTTCCCTCCCCATGTTTCTCAGCAGTTTCTTCTGTATTCAAAAGAATGTTTTCTTCTCCTGAAATGGAGAAGATAGATATTGCCCTACAGGTCCCTTCAGCTCTTTCCCCATTCTTTTCCAAACCAAGTCAGCAGAAATGAGGCAGAACTTCAGCACTCGTGCCCAAACAACACAAAGCTGGCAGATCCCAACCAAGTGCACACAGGTGGCTATCACAGCCTCACATGAAATCCAGGACTATATTGCAAATTGCCTGCAATGAGATGTTCCTTCAGCTCAGGTGTTGTATTGGCAACACTGAAACGTGCTTATTCTCATCTTTGGATCTAGGGGGCATCTAGTGGAAAGCCCCCTGAATGAAATTAGAAGTAAATCTTCCATTCTTATTCACTGCTTTTATTAATGGTTCTTGCTACATTGGCCTTTCTAGAAGATGCAACTGACAGGGAAGGGTTTCCTGACAAAGAGCTTGTTTCCCTAAATCTCTCATCTTGGAACAAAAAAAATTAAAAATTTAAGAGTTATTTCAACTGGCAAGGTTGCAACACAGGTTTGGGGTTTTTTAAAAATATATATTTGCTCTTGGGAATGACAAAGGATTTTCTGTTCTGAATCCTCTCTTTATTAGGCCAAATGGATTTCCTTGGTTGTCGCCCATCCAACTAATGCAATGTGATTCTGAGTCATTGGGCAGAGAAAAAGAATGGGGTGGTGGCACACGGATCATCTCCACCCACTCTCTGCCATATCACTACTCCAAGTGCATTTTCATTTTTGAGACTGACATGACACCAAGAACAGCCTTTCTTGGCTGCCATAAGCACACTCAAATGCATAATATTTGCTAATTGCTACCCCCAACGTGGTTGTTCTGCTGTTGGTGAAAGATGTGTTGTCAGTGAGGATTCACACTGTCACCTGGACATTGTATGCAGGAGAAAGCACTAATCACCAGTGTCAAACTAGCAGGTTGCCTACAGTCTGCCCTAGCAAGGCACAGTCAAAACTTAAATATTTTCCATGAGATGTGCTGGTGCTTATCGACTCATTTTTATGTGTTGGCTTTTGGCACTTTATTGCTTGGCTTCCAACACATGTCTGCAGGACTTCTGCAACCACCAGACAGTGCCATGGACAATTTGCATCTTTGCACTCACACACATATTTGCCCAGAAGACAGGCTGAGCACATTTTGTTTCAGTCATGCCCATGCAGCTGTTCAGGTGCATCCACTCAGGAACTTGTCCATGGGAGCTTTGCAGTACGAATGCACTGGTGAAATTTTCCTAGAAGAAAGGTCATTTGGTGTGGGGAAGGGAGGGTGGACCAGCTACTGAAGATTCACAGCTGAAAGAAGCTGCAAGGAACCAGGGGAGATCTCTCATTCCTTGCAAAGAAGCAGTAAGTCCAGTGCTGGCCCAGCATCCTGCTCATTCATTGCCAAGCCTAGTTTGCTCTCAATAAAGCAACTCATACCTATATCCTAGAAATATTTCGCAGAGCTGGCGCTAAAGGATAAAATTCATGGAAATCAGTGAATGAGTGATAGCTGTTTATTCTCCTCTGGAAGAAAAAAAAAATATAGGACAATCCATTTGCATATTCAGACTGAGCATATTTGTAAAGGGACAGTTCAGAATAAGCTGGCTCACAGCTACAGCAAGGGGAACGCAGAGGGGGACGAGTTGAGCCAAGGGACACGGCTTCACAGGAAGACAGGCTGGGCAGCAGCTAGCAGGGAAGGGGCAGAAGGGAGGCAAAAGGAGCAGCACAGGGCCTTGGACCTGGACAGGACACAGCAAGAACTGCAGGCAACTCGGGGAACCTTGTGAGGGCTGACACAGACACAATGTGGGAAGAGACACTGAACTTGTCGACTAACCTGACCTAATGATACTGTCAAATATTAATCCCACACAGAATTTCACATGAAACTCACATCTCAGACACTGCTAGGAAGGGGTGGGAACAGCAGTACTAACAGAAAAAAGGTTGGAGACTTTCCTCCTGGTAGGCAGAGGTGGGAAGACGCTCTCTAATGTGGTGTTTCAGAATTAAAAACCCAGCACCACAAGTAGGAGAGGACTTGAAATAACATACAGAAATTAAACTAGGACATGACATAAAGCCCCTTGGTATATATATATCTGAGGAAAACTAGGAGTCAATCCAGTACTATGCTTAGGGACAACACTTTTCATTGCACTGAGTTAAAATGTTGTATCTTACAGTATTTCACTTTTCTGCTGGGGAAAAATTGCCCCCAACCAGCTACTATGAAGGTTTGGCAGTTGATATACTCAAGAAGTCTGGCCTCCTAAATAACTGGGGACCACTTCAGGTTCACTTCACAAAAAAAAAAAAAGATACTAATACTCATTTACATGGTGTAAACCTGTAAGATTTAGAGTCAATTGTAAGAGTAAGATCTACAGAGTAAGTCAGGTGTGTGGTACTAGAGACAGAAATAAATTATCATCATGATTCATGAAAAATCTTTAATGGACTAAAAGTATCTCCTATTTAACTCTAGTACTCTGCAGGATTACAATATCCAAATCATCAGTGCTTTGCAGGATTGATAACTAAATTTTCCACAAACTGCAGGAGTTCCCCAGCCTCCCATAATGAACTCTAGTGGACAAATTACAAAGCTACTGGGAAACACATTTCCCAAGTTGAAAAATATTATTGAGAAATGAGACCAACATATATTTGAGACATTATTGTATATCATACTTCTGGAGAAACAGTCACTAAGCTACCTTTTATTAGCAGTTTCTATAACTAAGTTCAGAAATACAGCAAAGATTGTCTCAAGATTTCAGTACTGCTGCAAATTTTTCAAGTTAACAGTATAATGGTTCATAATATAGAGTGTTAGGTAAAATAAAATAACACATAGGCTAAATAAATGGTATTTGGGTTATGAAAGGCAGCAAGAAAAGCACCAAAATACTGAAAAAAACCCAGTAGAGTTGGCTAAGGACTTAAAAGGGGAAAAAAAAATCATCAGTGTAACACACTAGACATAGAGGCTCATGGACCCCAATGCACAGGAAAGCCTGCTGCTATGGGAAAACATTACTGTGCATCTCTGGAGAGAGAAGAAAGATCCACATCTCTTTAAAGAGTGCCTTAGAACAGAGGTGCTCAGCGCCACAGGAGGCTGGGAGCAGGGGCTGCCCGTCCCACCTGAGGAGGCAGAACAGCTCCCTGCTTTCTAAAGACTTGGCAGGAGTAGCAGAGAAAGGGTGGGCACCATCCTGCTGGGTGCAGGTCCATCTACGATGCGCTCTCCATGGCTTACACCACAAGAGTGGCCACTGCAGGGGACAAAAAGCATCTCTCACCTCCCCTTCTGGCCATCAACATCGCACAGACTTAGCTCCTCCCAAAGAGAGAATCCTTCAGTCTTGATCCTCATTCTTTGCCTGGTTCTGCATTTCAACAGGAGGGGAAGGACCGGGCTCCCTGGGGCTCACTGAGACCGGCAGCCCACAGTATCAGCAAAGTGAGGCTGCTCAGTGATCAATGTCCATACCCTGTTCATGGACTGCCTCAGCACAGGTAACTTACAAACCAGGAAAGTTGTCTTGTGTTAGGTCTTTACAGCTGTTGAACCTTAATTCCACCTCCCTCAGCTTCCCTCAGTGCACCCCTTTGAGTAAGACCTCATAATGCACATAAATAAATTCCCATAATTCTGACAATCCCTCTGCTTCCTGCTTTATCAGAAGGTGCTGCTCTCCCTGCAGCAGGGTGGCAATTGAAATTTGTGCTTTGCTAAGTGCCTAACTTTTCATCTGACAGCAGTCAAGGTTGGGGCATAACGTGGAAATACACCAGCTGTGACAATAATAATAATGGCAGGATGGAGCATGTGGTTAGTCAGAAAACAAAGGGAAATCATTTTCCACTGTTGCATCACAACCCCAATTACACAACCAAACAGCAGGACTTGAGGGGAGGGATTCTCTCCACCACCACAGGTATTTAGGCACCCCTGCAAACCATGTCAGTCTAACACAGAAGAGGGAGCAGGTCGGACGCAGCAATTAGGACGCCTAAAATTCTGCAGCATGGACTGGAACACGTTGTGCTGCCTCCCTTTTAGTTTTTTATTTGAGGATGTATCTGAGGAAATGGATTTCCGGGTCTGACTGTTCTGGGCCCGGATCAGTTTCTCGTGTTCCCGTATTTGTCTCTGTAAGTGATTCTGGATGGCAATTCCCAGGGATTCTGGATCGAGGGAAGCACCATAAACCTCCCATGTCATTCCTTGCTCATCCCAAACAACATCCCTGACGTGTTTGGACTGCTTCACCTGTACTTTGGCCTCCATGGCTGGGGTGGAATGCTTTTTGTTCTCCCCCAGGTTTGGCACAGCCTGGGAGGAAGCAGGAATCACTGCATCCTGTGGGCACACCTTTGCACGGACAGCAGCAGGCTGGCTGCCAACATTCAGCCCTCCTTTAGGATCAAGCACCACCAAGTTTTCTTCCTTTGGTTTTACCACAGATTGGTTAGGACTGGCCTGCCCTTGACTCCCACCCTTGCTTTGCACAGGCTTTTGCTCAGAGCTGCCCAGGACCTCCTTCTGCTTGGCTTCACTGTCCTTGCCAGAGAGTAAAGGTGACCGGCTGCTTCCTGCATGAGGGATGAGATCTTGCACATTGTTCTGGGCTCCTGGGACAGCATCAGTGGAAGTGGTGCTTGGCTCACCAACACCAGTCCCAGACTGTGGTGGAGTTTGATTACTGGAGTCAACTCCAAGCTGCTTAGCTGGGATGGGCTTTGGTGGGACTGGAGCATCCTTTGGCAGCTGAGCAGCATCCTTGACATCATGGGCTGCACTGCTCATTTCAGCATTACCCACAGATGTTCCTTGAGAGGTAACAGCTGCAGGGGAGCAGGGGACAACAGGTTTCGTGTTATCTGCTGATACTGGAGATGCCACGTCAGATGGGACCCCAGGCTGGGTTTGGGCTGAAGCAGTCACAGGCACAACAGTCGATTTTGATGTGATAACAGGAGAACATGGAGACTTTTGTTGTGAGGATAAACTGTCAGCAACTGCAGCCTGGCTCAGCCCCATTCCTCCTTGGTAAATTATGTGCAGTTCTTCCTTCTCCTCTGGAGGAGGATTCTCTTTTAAGAAGGCAGCAAAGATGCTGGGACTGGTGGAAGCTGATTTGCTCTCCACAGTAGCCACTGCCTGAACCTCAGCATCCCGCCATGTCCTGCTTACAGCTTCCTGAGCAAGAGGGCTGCTCTCTGGCTGAGCTGTCATTGTACCTGTTTCTCTGAATTTGGAGAGCTGGGTGGGGTTTGGACTCCCAGGCATGGGGCCCAGGTTGTGTACAGGATGGGGACTCCCGTGGCCAGACTGGGCTGGTGCCTCACTGCTCTGCATCGCTTCAGTTTTATCTGGGGGGTGCGACTGCGGCGTGTCTGCAGTCCCACCTTTTGCCTCCAGACTGCTCTGAGAGTCTCTCCCCAGGTCAGCTTCGGTTTGCCCTGCTGCTGAGGCTGACTGACACACAGCAGAACCATTTTTCTCTGCCTCCCTGTCTTTTTCCCCTCTTTGCAGAAGGTTGGCCTGAGAAGAATGACAGAATTGATTAACCCCGACAGGATCACTCGGGGAAGAATAATTTAACACTTCAAGCGCCGGCTGATCATCAGCTCCTTGAGGTTTCAAGGCAGAGTCATCTATCTGTGTCAGGGAGCTCGTTTTGGCCTGGCTGCCTTGCACAAACTGCCGGGAGCTCTGGGGGGCTGGCATCATCTCTGGCCCTTGCCCCGCCAAGAGGGCTCCTGCGGCAGCAAGGGCTGGCACTGCCGGTGCCGGGATGCCCGCTGGCTGGGAACAACCAGCAGGCTTTACATCTGCAGGATGCCCCTCTGCAGCTGTGCTGGCCAGCCTGGGAGAAAAGGCTTCCTGCTGGCTGTCATCATCTGTGTGGCACTGCTCACACCTCTGCGTGCTGGCAGCACCTGTGCAGGTCAGGTCGAAGAAGCAAACCCCAGCTGAGCCGGACGGCACGCACGGGAAACCATTGCTGGCCCTCTCGGCACTGGGGGCTTGGGGCTGGTGCTTGGCAGGCTGCAGGTCTCCCAGGTGCTCCTCCTCTGCAGAAGTTGAGACCAGGGAAAGCTTGGCAGATCTCAGAGGGTCTGGTACAGTCCCCATGGACTGTCTTCAAGATGTTGTTTGTCCTCGGCTTCTCCTTGGAGTTTTCTCGCTGGGCAGGCTGTCCACGACAGGCTTCCTGTGAAGCTAATCTGTTAATGAAACAAACACAGCGTTAGCAGCAGTCAGATTCAAGAAAAAGTGCCCAGAACTAATTGATTTTACAGTGTGAGGAGAAATACTTGCAGGCAGCGGGGGAAGTGAAGCACCCAATTCTGCCTCAAAGTCACAAAAAAGACACAGATTTCAAGGACCTCCCACTTCTCAGGTCAGGATGGAGAAAATAATACTAGGGACAAAGCAACAACAGTTCTGTGCTGTTGATACATTAATGAAAACATGGACATGTCAAGAGGAAGGAAAAAAAAAGAAATATGAAATGAAAGAAGAGGTACAGACTTTGCATAGAAGTTTGAGTCACAAAATAAAATCCCTGTGATAATATTCTCTAGCAAGCCACCTGTGGAAGGAAATGACTATGTGAAGAACAGATCTCTGGGTTTGAGTGTATTCACATCTTCAGTAAGCATCAGTTCCCCCTTCTGCTCAAGGACAGCCTTTCTAGCTCCACTACCAACAAGGACAGGGTCACAGGGGGCAGCAGGTCAATTCAGACTAATGTGGATGAATCGAAACCTCACTGGTAAAAGGAACATGGAGGAATCACAACCTGCTGGGTGATGCAGATAGAAACCAAGAGGAGGTACTGCACGCTGTTGTGGTGTTGTGAGGGCCCCAGGACAAGGTGAGAGATGAGAATTTGACTCCATGTTCTCAGAAGGCTGATTTATTATTTTATGATATTATATTATTTTAAAAGAAATGATATACTAAAACTATACTGAAGAAAGAGAAGGGATACATCAGAAGGCTAGAAAGGAGTGAATAATAAAAACCCGTGACTGACCAGAGTCCTGACACAGCTGGACTGGGACTGGTCATTAATTAAAGACAATTCACATGCTGGGTAAACAATTCTCCAAATCACATTCCAAAGCAGCAAAACAGGGGGAAGCTGAAGCTTCCCAGCTTCCCAGGAGAAGAAATCCTGGCGAAGGGATTTTTCAGAAGTATCCTGGTGACACTGCACACCAGGGCTGTGCACATACTTACTGCTGTCACACTGAGATCCTTTGAAATCATTACAAGGAAACCAGCTTGATTAACAAATGGGGGCACAGATGACCTAGATATCAACTTACAGGTAAGTGGTATGAAATTGAAAGGGGAACATTGCAGCACTGCAGAACAGGAGGGGTTCATGCCATACCCAGGGAAATGTAATGGGAGGGATTTTAAGCAGGTAGAACAGAGTAATCCAGGCTGGAATCATGCCAGGACTGCAGAGAAATCATCCCTTCAAACTGGAGGTGATCTCCAAATGTGTTTGCTGGCTTTCCAAAGAGCTTAGCCTGGACACTGCTAGAGATCATGGATGGGATCCATACCAGCAGAGTGGTGGTGGCCAGGGATAAAATCCCACCCCACTCTTCTTTTAAGCTTCAGGCTATCTGAGCTTGTTTAAAAAGCTCAGACACTGGCTTATGCTGCCAGCAAAACAGGTATGAGACCTGGGGAGACACTCAAGTTTTGTTAACCTGATGACAAGAACATTGCTGTACCTGTTTGTGTGCCCCTGTCTCTGCAGGCACACAGCAGGATCTCCCTTGCTCCATTACTAGGGAGATGATGCTGAAAGCAGTGGAGCTGTCACTCAGCTGTTCCAGACCCCACCTACCCACCAGCAAAATCAACAAAATTTCTCTCCAGAAAAATCTCTACTCTCCTTTTCTCAGCCTGGATGGCAGTGGTATGACTTCCTTAGTTTCTGTAAAATCAATCCCAAATTTCAGTACCTAAGGATACTTTAAAAGAGCAACAGGAGAAAAATGCTCAATGAAGGAAAATTTTTAAAAACACAGCCAGTTTATTTTTTCTAAGAAAAAGAAAGTGCTGCAACTTATTACTTATTCATTAAGCTTTCTGTCTTCCAGGTATTAAAAATTTATTACTTTTATACTGCCTCTTTGGGCTCTGTCCAGCCACAGAGATACCAGCTCCTGGGTTAAGCCAGCCCTGAGAAACTGTGATCCTAAAGGATCCCAAATTCCTTAGCTGCAGTCTGTGACAGCAGCCTAGCATCACCCCATGATGGCTTTCCAGGAGGGCTAAGGATGGCCAAGCTTTTTGGGAAGTACTGAGTATGTAAACCAGGCTGCAAACCTATGGAAGGTTGTGGCTGCCCACATGTCTTGCCTTCATTTTGTTCTCACTTTAAGGACAGCCAATATAGTCCTGAAGGAAGGACAGACTTTCCATGTTCACCCTGTTGTGCTATAAACATCTAAGGGCTGCGAGGAGAGGAACAGATGGCTTTGGGTATCCACCAAACTAAATTCTGTTACTCTCTTCTTTCCTTTTCCAAATATCTCTGCAAACCAAACCAGTTCATACAACTGGGCAGGTCAGATATCTTTTTCCCTTATGGTTTAGATCGAGAGTTTATTTAAGAAAAATTAAGCAAATAATGGAACAAAATCAATCCCCATTTTTAGGATGAGATGTACTACTCAGCAAACACAGTCAGAATAAATAAAGACTTCAGAGAAAATCTGTTTGGTTCTTCACTATACAAAACCCGGGCAAGGCAATCTGCATGCAGAAGCATTATCTTTTAACTCATACCCACTCAACAGGAGAGTGATTCCTAATTTTTCAATGAAATTAATTAGTTCTGGTTTGAATTCTGCATGAATTCTCCATATCTGTTCAGTGGCTCTTTCCTAGAATCACCTGAAACACAGAGTTGAATGTCTGCCTCATATGGTAATTAAAAGAGATTTTGCTACCAGTCCTTGATATACAACATCAACAGAAGAAATTCCCCCCAGAAAACTCACCTGGACCTATTCTCTGATATGGGACAATTGAGCATAGTACATTTTGCCTGACCCTTGCATATGGGTTGGAGGGTGGATCATTCTTCTGCCTGGAATGACTCTGCATATGAGTTAGTTTATGAGCATAAGGTTTCTATAAAGACTTTTTTGTCAAAGTCATGGGAATTATTTTCTAGACTGTCACTAAACCATCCTAATGACAGGAGCCAAAGGCACTAAAGTAGCCTAAATTAGCATGGTAACTTGAGAAAATATTCTAACTTAAGAATTAATAAAAATAAAGAAAAAGCAAAGTCTTATGAAAGAGAGGAGCAAGGAAGCCCTACAGATTACAGAATTGGAAAGGCATTTGTATTATTGGAATCTCATGTATGATTACTGTCTCATTTTTATTATTTGAGTCCTGTTATAGAGGAATGAAGGACAATGTGGGCAATGCTACTCAACTGCCAAGACATTGAGGATTCAAACAAACAAACAACATTGCCTGCAAGCAAATACTTAGGAAAAACATAAATACAAGACTCAGTAGAAGGCCAAAAAACACGTCAAAACAAATCAAGATTGCTGATGAATTTTGCAAGTCTTGTATGCCAGACGTGGAACAATCATCCAAAATTTTCTTTTAACACAAGGTGAAATTAGTATCTCTACAAAGGTCAAAATCAATTTTTAGTAATAAGAACAGATTTGCTACACCAACAGAGCTCTCATCCTTATTCTTGCAGATCAAATTAGCCTGGCTGACTGTGTCATTCTCATCTCAACAAAGAATTGTTCTGGACCTTTAGCAACAAGAGGTTTCTAACTTTGGCACAGTCTATGTTTGGCTTAAATGGTCTGGGAGGGTCCCTGTGTGGCCAGGAGACCTTCACAGACTCTTATAACTGAGTAGGTCTTTTTCATGTGCTGTTAAAAAGTCCAAAACCCCTCAAATCCCAAGAAGTTTCCAGGCAACTCGATGCTGGCAATGTAAACAAACTCTTATCTATTTCAGTAATAACCAACCCCCAATAGAACAACACTGCAAGTGTTAACAGTATAATGGTTCATAATATGGAGTGATAGGTAAAACAAAATAACACACAGGCTAAATAAATGGTATTTGGGTTATGAAAGGCAGCAAGAAAAGCACCACAATACTGAAAAAAACAGTAGATTTTTTTTTTTTACTCTTTCTTCTTATGAGAAAGAAGCTCAATAAAAACAGAAAGTCTGCATGTTTCATAACACAAACCAATAAAATTTCAGGAAATTCCTACATAAGATTCTGCCTTTCATTCCCTCTGGAAGAAATCTGAAAATCTGCAAAAGCACAAATAAGACTTCCAGCATCTCCATCTACCCTCAACCACAAAAACAACTAAAAAGCAGCTCCCAAATGAATCAAGCACCTCATCCCCAATTCCGGATTCTCATCACTTTTCCATTCCTTGAGCCCTGTACTCTTTTAGCCCTCTCTTCAACTTTGTCTCTGAAAATGGAAGAGCTGAACACTTGCTCTTAATAGCTCTAATCTTACAAGATCTCTCAGATCATCACAAAAAATCATTATATAGCCACATCGGTTAAGAACAGAGATAAACATCTGCTGAAGTGGGAATTCACTCTCTGTTCTCATTTTCTGATCTGAAGAAGAAGACAATGGCTCACTTGAACTCGTATCAGACCACTAAATATAAAGAAAATAAAACACATTTCTTTAAATTTTAAATACACAAACATCCTTCTAATTCTGCAGCCGGTGGGTTTTTTTACCCTCTTTTCAATGTCAAAGGGTGTTTGTTATCCTGGGTTTTGTGAAAAATTTGCTTTATGGGCCATTTTCTCCCAATTATCTGTGGGATCAAAAAGACTGGCACTACAAATGAAAGACAGCACAAAACAAGGACACATTCATTAAAATACCTAAGAGGTTGCCTGAAGAGGTAAGATACAAGGTGCAGAGCTTCCATCTTTCTGTGTGTTTTGGGATGCTGACAGGAGACAAATAACTCACTGTGATGACAGGGAGGGAAGAGGTGATGGGGGATGCTCACAGACACCCTGCACACCTGCGATTCCCACCAGAGACGGGGCTGGCATTTCAAACAGAGGGTGCTCCAAGTCCCAGTTTCCCTTCTACACCTCAGGAATGCAGATGTTATTATTGCAGGTCAGACCTGCAGACAAAGCAGGAACCTGTGCCAGAG